AAAAAACAGATGTCTTTATGGTATTGTTTGTCAACTCTGTTATGGACAAATTAGCCAATGTGTAGAAATAACAATAAATCATAACAGGAAAAATCCTTCTTGTTTCATTAGACAAACGACAGTAACAGAATTGACAATTTTCTTTATTTTTTGCCAAAAACTCCACTTGCTAGCATAAATGCTAAGAGCACATGGCACTAATGAAATCATGATTAAAAGACTTTTAAATAACACAAAGTTTGATCAATAAAAAAATCAGTTTTCCTTTTGATATTGTGGTAACAGATTTGACCCTTTATAAAATAACTCTTGGTGTAAATAACTTTTTAGATTAAAATATTTTCTTAGAGAGAGCACATAGATTTTTCAAAGCTTCAGATCTTAACAGCGAGGGAAAGTTACATCATTTCCTGTATCTTACATAGTTGTGGGAGATAATTCCACTAATTTAAAGGCACTCTTCTATCCAGCTTGGAGCTGTCCTATTCTCTTGGCTGCTCCAGTTCAAGGTTCCTATCTGCTCTTCTGTGGTCTCTCTCTGTACATCGTCTCCACACATCTCATCCAAGCGCCCATAGAATCCACTAGCCTTGTCCAGAAAAGGAGGAGAACGAGGGGCCATGTTCTTTTTGGAGCTCCTGCCGATAGTCATGGTCTTGTGAACTCAGGAGAGATCTTAATCCAGTCTTTGCAATCTAAAGAGGAAGGAAGAAGGAAACATGACTTTGACGTGTGCTGGTGCTGTTAAAAATGTTGAGAAAAGATCAGCCATATGTTTGTCATGAGAGACTATACAAAAAACAGTCCTTACACAATCAAAGAAAAGAAGAAGAGCAGCAGGCGTCCTCGGGGCTACTGTCGAAATTAAATCTACATGGCCTGAGGTTCATCTTTCCCTTCCATCCCACATTAATGTGTGTTAATCAGTCATGGCATCATTTGCACACTGTTCAAAGTTCATTCTGTGTGTATACAGCGTATCAGTAAGTTCCTATTATAGGAACAGTGTGTCTTTATGATAAGATGAACTCCAGCCTGTCATTGACTTTGACTCCAGTTGGTCATGCTGGAATTGCAGCTGGTGCCACGACAGAAGACTGTGACTCAAAATCACTCATAAATATGTCATACAGCGCAGAGGTTTAAACAGCCATTATTGCACGTTTTTTATATTATTCATATTAGGACGTTCATTAAGCTGGACCTTTCAAATATTTTACAAATAGCTGAACTCCAAATGAAATGGACCATGAAATTAAGAGCTATACTTATATTTTATCACATAAACATTTTAGTGAAGCCCATAACTAATTTACATATACAGTATGGGAACTTAGTTTTTAAGATATTACGATACATGATATACTGAGAAAATATTTTAATTTAAATGCTCTGCTGTCGATTTCAACTCTTTGGAAATGTTAGGTCAGTATCAATGGTGTAGTTGTCTCATATTACAAGCTGTAGTTCTGGTTGGGAAGTGTTATAAAATTCAAAAAGAATTGACTAACTTCAGTGTTCAGAGTTAAAGAGTATAAATAATTTGGTGTTGTAAATGATCATTTACACAAAAAAAAGCTATGTTTCCCTTATTGCTATATAAATAAAGAGTCTTATTTTATGTGTAAACTATCATTTCAGAATCTCAAGTTTGCTTCATAATAAGCTTAAAAATATTCATACATTTAAAGAAAAAAAGAACATACAAAGCAAAAATATAAATTACAGAAAAATTGATAAATAAACATAAATATAAGACATAAAAACAAAACCAAGAGCACTGGAGGCTGACTTACCTGCTGGTTGTTTTTGCGTGACTCTGCTCTTACTCGTTCTCGGTGTTCTGGGCCCAACTCACCTTACTCTGACACACACAATCGTCACACTGTCTGAACCTGTCGTCATTCAAGCACACTGATAC